ATAAACGGTTGCTTCAAATCTGAGTCCACAGAGGTGGGCGGGATCGTTTGCGGCCAAGATGTCACGCTTCTTCTCAAAGGTCTTCAAACGAGTATTCCAGGTCATGGCGGTTGTGGGAGCATGCTTCATGTCCTTTTGGGAGGTCGCCTTGAGAGCATGGGTGAGCGAAGAGTAGCACTTCAGGCGGGTGATGGCTTCATGCTCTGTCTGGAGATTGACAGTTCCAAAGCCCTCGCCAAGTTCTAGTAGCGTCGGATAAGATTCTGATCGACATCGTCTCGTACCAGGAGGGCGTCTTGCCAGCAGGATCTGGTGGCGGAATTGATCGGTGCCGTAGTAAGGAAAAAAGGTGAAGCCAATGTCAAAGTGATTTTTCCTTTGATTTATTGTCATAAAGTCGCGGACACCCTCCCCAAGGTTATGAGTGACTAGACGAAAGGGGCACTTCATCCCATATGACGCCAAACGCAAGGTTGGAACACGAAGTTGATGAAAAACCTCCTGGAGCATTCTGACAGTACAAGAAGGTGATCCCATGTTGAGAATTCGAGGATTTGCAGAGGGATGCGCAATGATATGGAAATTGTTCCATAATTTCTGAAGCACCCTTTCCTTGAAGTTGGGGGGCATTCGAATGGTACATGCACCTTGCGCCACAAACACAAAATCGGAAAAGTCTTTATGGTCCTGTAATGCCAAGACATGATGTGCAAGAGTGACAAGACCCATAGGGTGCAGGACAGTTGATAATTGATGGGTTTCAATCGAGATCGCCCAAGAGTCCAGGTCATAGTCCTCCTCGTCTGGAATCGGTAAATTATACATCCACTCTTGAAAATCTGTGATTGGGCCATCAGTCTTTAAAAAGAAATAAGGATATTTATTAACATTCTCTGTTGAACTCAAAGATCTTAAATAAATCTGATTATACCATTGGCCCCAAATCAGAATTATTCTTGGAGGCTGAAATTCCACATTCCACAGACACTTGTGATTCTTGTTCAACAGCATCCCACCACTCATCAACCGACTCTTCTTCAGTCACGTCATCTGCCTACACATTAACAAAATCTTGATTACCATTCAGCAAAAAAAGGAGCATTTAGTAAAACTAAAACTTACTTCCAGGCATGCTTTCTGTCCCAAGAGGTTATCAATCTAAGGCATGCACATCAATAATAATCCCCATGAAAATTGAGGGAAGGGTTCTTACCATTGGCCCCCAATCAGACTCTTCACTTGTCACAGGGGATCTTGCTGTAACAATATCCTGACCAGATCCACCTTTGACCCCAGTAATTAACTGCTATTTCAAAAATCAGCATTCCGGTGGTGAACATCATAGTCCAAATAATAGACAGACTTACTTTAGGAGCTGGAACCCCTTTTTCCACCTTGATTGGCCTCCCGAGAATCTGAATTACTTCCTCTGGGGAAAAATTACTAGCCCCAATCTATTGAAAATGTCAACCATCAGATCAGGTCAATGATTCAGCCAGAGAATAAACAGACTTACCATTGCATTGGCTTGAGATTTTGAAGCCCCTTCCTCCACAACATTTGTCTGCGACAAGTCAATCAAACACATCAAACATAAAAACATTCTGGTCAGCTCAATCCAAGATATTCTGAACAAATAATGAACAATCAGATCATCCAAAATAAACATGAAAAATCCAACTCATTCTTACCCTCTTTTCACCTGGAAGGTCTTGAACAGCTTCTTGAAGGGCCACGTTTGCCTACACATCAATTAGCCATGTGAGCATTATTATCAAAAAAATATGCAGCATAATATAACCTACTTGTGGAGCCCCTTCACCATTTCCTACACCCATTGGCATTAGCAGAAATTCCCTGTTTCCTTGGGTACCAACAAATTGAACCACCTGTTGCAAATCAAAACAATCAGCCCATAATTATTTATCTTCAGCAAAATAAAGCTCACCATGTCTGCAGGTCCAGATTAAACTACAAGCCTTGATTCTGAGGCTGGCAGATTCAACTACAAGGAAATTTCAAATAGTGAGGCAGGTTGGGGAACAGCAGCAACAGGACTAGCAGCTTAAAGTTGGATTATGTTAGCAGTCAAGAGCCAGAGGATCAGAGTTCCAGGAATTGAAGAATTTTGATGAATAAGTTGGCCTAGTCAAGGGAGGTTATTTCTCAGGTTTGGGGTGGGATTAGGAATGGGGAATCAGAAAAATTAGACAGAAGCCAAGTTGTGGTTGCCACCCATGCATATCCAACGTGTATATGCATGTGTAATTCAATTTGATATAATACTTGCTCCTGCAAACTGCCAGAAGAGCCACACATCGTACCCAGCACCCAAGTGAAGGGATTCTTTGTGAAATGTTCATCTTAGTTACATAACTATCTCATTGATACTGGGATTCATTTTTTTTTCATGAAGGGTTCCATCCTCATTCAAGCTATTGTGAAAGACACCTTCAAAATGGCCACCTGAGCTGGTTTTTTTTTTGTGTTGCATCCCAGAAAAATGAGACAGAAGCCAAGTTGTGGTTACCACCCATGCATATCCAACGTGTATATGCATGTGTAATTCAAATTAATTTTATATTTGCTCCTGCAAACTGCCAGAAGAGCCACACATTGTACCCAGCACCCAAGTGAAGGGATTCTTTGGGAAATGTTCATCATAGTTACATGACTATCTCATTGATACTGGGATTCATTTTTTTTCCATGAAAGGTTCCATCCTCATTCAAGCTATTTTGAAAGACACCTTCAAAATGGCCAGAATTGAGAGGGCCACCCGAGCTGGTTTTTTTTTGCGTTGCATCCCATCCAGTACTCTTGCAGTTATAGTCCAGGACCCAGGAGGTTGAGTGTTTTTAAAGTCATCCAGTGGAAGCCAACAACACTAAACATTTATAGTTAGGCTTTTATTCATCAAGAAACAACATACAATTCTCCCCCCCCCCCTCTCCCCAAACAAACCCAATAACAGGGTTAGTCAAGCCTGCTAGGTACAAGAGACAGTTTGGATGGGATGGGTTGGAGTTTGAATTTCCCCCATTGGCCTAATGGTAATCACAAGAGGTGACCTCCAACTGGGGGTAGGTTAGCCCATATTGGGCCCACATGACAGAGAGATGGAACAGAGCCCCCAAAAGTTACTTTTAGCTGCATTAGGGTATACCATTGCCCAAAAGACCTAATGACAAAGTGTTGCCCCCAATGTCATTCCCCTGATAATTGGCTTGGTTTCAAGCTTTGTCATTGATTCCAGTTTGTTAAAAACTGTAAACTCATGAACCACCATTGCTTACTGTCATTAAGCACCTATGCGAAATAAGCTTACAGAGAAATAGACTCCAAAATATTCTGCAGCATGCCCCCAATAATGATCTTTAGTTACCCCCTGGTACATCTCAACTTCATATACTGATCATAAACTCAGCCACTGCTGTCATTTCTCCATCAATTTGCTTCATTCATGACCTATCATCTTTTACTTTTATTTGGTCTCAGACAAAAAAGAACTGTGACAAGAGGAATAGAGTTGGGCAGATAATGCCGGACAATGCCTTCAAAAGGTATCTTTAGCTGCCCAAGGAGATACCCTTGCTGAAAAATCGGATGAAACAGCTGTTGAGTGACAACAGTTCTTGAATAGTCTGTTGAGAAAGTCTTAGGATATCACTGACAAAAATTACAATGAGAAACTTGCATCAGGGCAAAAGATACTAGCCCCAATCTGTTGAAAATTTCACCTATCAGATCAAAAAATAATCCAGCCAGTAAAGAGACCTCCTTACCATTATGTTGGCAGGAGACTTGCCAGGTCCTTCACCCACCAGATTCTTAGGCTTCAAATTAACTAAACACATCAGACCAGGCATCAAAAATTGAAACATGCTGGTCCGCTCAATCCAAGGTATAGGTCTATGGCTACCCAGCAACTACCTCAGTCTGCATTCAAAATAGTTTGATTTAATGGAACTAACTTTGGCAATCCCCAGGTCGCAGGAAAATCCTCTGTGAAATCAACCAACTTCCCATTCTGTTGGAAACTTCAACGATCAGATCATCCCAAAGGGTTTTGAAAATCAACCCCATTCTTACCTCATTTTCACCCTGAAGGTCTTTAACAACTCCCTCCTTCCTGGGCCACATTGCCCTACAGATCAATTAACCTCATAAGGATTTCAATCAAAAAGATTATGCAATCCAATATGGCTTACTTTGGGAGTCTGTACATCAATTCAAAGTGAGAGTATTGCAGGGCAAAAGGTGGCCCAGAGGTGCAGGCCTCAAAAGACAAACATTTTCCCACATTACATACTGGTCATTGGCAATACATGCAAACCCACAGTCTGACAAGGACCATGCATTACCAATCCTACTGTTTACCAAGTAGGAAGGCTGAGACTGCATTTGACTGGCCACTCAGCACCCCAGTGGCCTGGAGTTAGGGTTAGGTGGACAGATGAAAAAAAAAACTGTTGATTGAACAAATGAGTTTCAGAACAAATTTGGATTCCATAAGGGTTAGGGTTAGGGTTAGGGTTAGGGTTAGGGTTAGGGTTACAAGGGACTCCCCAGGGCCAGGGTAGCAAGATTCTACCACGTTATATTGCATAATAAGCTCCATATTGCATAATAAGCTTCATATTGCATGATAAGCTTCATATTGCATCAAGTATTGCATTGCATGATGAATTACATTGCATACGTCCCACTTATCAGCGAGGAATTGCATATCAAAATGCTTGCACAAAATCCAACAAAGTTAACATATTAAACCCCCAAACTGTATGATTTATTTAGCCCCCAAACTGCATGATTTTAATCCCACAAAGCCAATGTCTGAAACCCCCAAACTGTATGTTTTATCCCCTGAACTGTATGTTTAACCCCCAAACTGTATGAATTATCCCCCGCAGAAACTGTATATCAAATGACCCGCATAATTTTTTTTTTGGTGCCAGGGGGTTTTGAACCCGTGACCTCCTCAAAAACAATGCCAAGCCGCTGTCTAACCATTGGTTTATTTCAACTTGGTATGTTTTTGTTCCATGAGGGAACACAACCACAGGGCCTCACTTTTTCACTTGGTCACTAACAATTCAAACTAACATACAACACTTTCAAACTACCTCAGCTTCCATCATTAGAGCCATGAAAACATATTCCATCACAAAAAAAAACAAACAAACATCCATTCCTCTCCTCACCAACTTATACACCCACCAACCACATTCCTCCTCCAATATCCAACAAACATGGACATTTCAACCCAATTTTATACAACAATCTGTTAGTATTTCAGCTCTCTTTTTTTCTCTTTCTCATCATAAGCATATTTCCTAGCACACATTCCGGTCATTATTAGAATAAATTAATACTCACTTCATCACATAACCTCCATGTTTTCTTATCTATTTACAGCTTGATTTTGCTGATCCAGAAATACAAATAATTCATTCTTGTACCTTTTCCCTCATCAATCAACACAATCAACCACCTTCTCCCTCTGATGTAAAAAACCAAGCTTATCAACACAACTCACCCAACCAACAGCAACCACCATCTCAAAACACAACAAAACATTCCATCCAAACACAATTCACCTCTTCCAAGTCACCCCACCACATTCTCCCAACAACCAGCAATAAAAAATCATCCGATCAGAAAAGATATAGATAATAACTTCCACATTTCAAATCAGCCAACAACAAATTAACAACACCAGAGTCAACTTGCACAACAACACACAATCAATGCTTCTCTTTACACCAATAAACAACAATTGTCCTCAGAAATTAAATCAAATTTACTAACATTTCCCCATTCACCAACTAAAAGCTCAATAAATATGTTCCTCCTGTGGACTCTTCCACTGCTCCTACAAACCAGAAATTCAAAACAACATAATCCTTCATGCTGCATCAACTGACTTGTAGAGCAAACCAGTGCAACAAGAGCTCAGATGGTCTATAGTTGACAAGATCCGCAGACTCAAAGGTGATGGGCTGCCGAACTTGCCATACAAATACCAGAGCTCCCGTTGTGCCGGCTGGTCCAACAAGTTATTTGATGAAGCTGATCAACTTCCTTGTTTCTCTCAACATCAACTTTCTTCCAAAGTAAAACCATCTTTTTAACAAAATGCTCCCCCACACCAAATATTTTTTTAAATTCTTGAGCCCCTCATTTCAACCCAATGAATTGTTGTTGTCATTTAATACTGGCTTTTGAATCCAGGTTGAATGTTTTTTTTAATTTTTACCTTTCTGACTTGTATTAGTTCATTTTTTTTTCTCACCCATGAATTCAAAACAATGCACTTCAGACATTCCTGAAATATCTTTAACCCATTGATGCTAGCTGTGTAAGTAAGCAATCAAACCATATCTGGAGAAATCTTCATCTCAGTAAGGTCAAAACAAATATAAACAAGAAAGGAAAAAAACCAAACATGACTGAAAGGTAAAAGGTTGTTTGCAAAATTTATGAACAAGAAAAATTAAAGAATCAAAAGCAGAACTGGAAAAAAGAAACATGAATCAGTGATTCTTCACAAAAGTTCAAAACAAAGAAATGCTTACACAGTCACAAGTGGTGGTGACAATAAAAAACACCAAATCTTCCTTTCCAACTGTAAATGAAGTAATTCCTGGGAACCAAGCGTTCATCATCTTCATCAATGTAACGTGGATTGAATTCTCGCAAGTTTGCAATTCCATCATGAATCCAAACAAGTACAATTCTTGCCCGATATTTGTTTGATACTTCCCTCAATAGCCCTGGAATCTCTGAGGAATGAAACTCAGGAGGGTCTTTGAGCGGGTTGTTGAGAACATGGGGCCTGGTTTCGCATGACATTCTGATCTCGTTATGTCTTCCTTGACTGCCATATATCCAAAAGCTGAGCGCACGCCATATGGAGTCCTTGTTGTCTGGAAAAAGGTTGATTGAAAA